TTTTGTATTATGATTTCTTTATAAATCTTCCACTAATAAACCAAGGGTAAGATCACCTAAGTTAAAAAAAAAAAAAAAAAAAAAATACTATAATATAATAATATTATAATATTCCAAAATATATAATAAATTAATAATTTAAAAAATTATTTATTAGTTTAAAATTAATTTTTAAACTAATTATAAAAATAAAAATTTTATAAAATTTGTATATTAATTATTAAATTATATTTAAATAATTTATTTTTATTAAATTTTACAAATATATAATTATATAATAATATAATAAATATATTTATATTTTGTATATAAAATATAAAATTTTTAGTAAATTCTATTTATAATATAAAATTATACTAAATATTTTGCATAATTTAATTAAATTCTATAAAACTTTTTTTATAAAAAATATAAGCTATTGCTAGTTTGCTATACTAATTTAAACTAATAATATAATTAAAAATATTATTTATAACTATAAAATTAAATTTATTTTTTTTAAAAAATAATTATATATATAATAATAGTAAACAATATAATTTAAAATAAAAAAAAACTCAAAAAATACTATGATCTCTTTTTGCTAATTACCAAAACCAACACTAAAGCAAAAACTTTTTATAAAACAAGTACTAAACTTAAGAAAACCTAGTAAAATATTAGTTCTAAAGTAGTACAGAGTATATAGTCTCATAAGACCTTTGAGGCAATAAGTAGCAGAAAGCTGAAACAAATAATAGCTCAAATATTTTAGCTAAAAGTTTGCTTTGCAAACTATTAAAGTTAAAAAGGAGAAGCTTAGAGAAGTTAGAAGTTTAAAAATAAAAAAAGAAAATATATAATAGTATTTGTACTGAAACAAATACTTTTATACTCATTTACTCCTACTTGGTTTTTTGCACCTATTTACCTCTTTTAGTTCTTTGGATTTTCTTTTTTTTTATTTGTAGAGATTCAGCCTACTTCTAAAAAAGAATTAATAATACTATATCTAAATTAGTAAATAATATATGTTTACAAACAATCTAATAGTAAACAATAATATATATAACAAAGCAAGTATAGTTAATAGCAAATTTGAATACCTCCTAGTACTAGAATAGAGATTATTTAGTTGAACAGAGTGTTTAAATAGGTAATTCATATATGGATTACAGGTATAGTAGCATAGTGTAGAACTAATCAGATAGTCTATTGCCTGTATAGCAAACTACTTAAATTAGACAATAACTAAAGTTGTATATATAGCTTATTATACACTTTTCACATAATTACAAACTGTAGAGGAACTCTATATAGAACTTTATATATCAAACTAATAAAATCTGCTTAGCAATATAAGCTATTTTAAAAATAAAAAAAAATAAAAAAATAGAGGTTATGGATATTCTATAGAATAAGTAGGCAATATAAGAAATAAGCTTCACTAATAATTTGTAATTATTAATTTTTAATATATTCAGCAGAGTTTAGTAGAGTTTGTTTATCTATTCTATAGAACATCTGAGATTATTAACTTAGAGATATAAAACATTTTGTAGTATCAGTATTTTATATAATTTTTACAAAAGTCTTAAGCTCTATAGAGATAGTAGCTTGAATAATATTTAAATTTTTTTTTTTGATTCTTTATTTTTGTTTTTTTATATTTTATTATTTACTGTATATATATAGTATATACTATAGAGTAATACTGTTCCTTATATATAGTATTTTTATTTTTCCTTTTTACTATATAGAAGAATATTATTAGTTTAGTGATATTTAACTATATAGATAAGAAATTATAACAAATTAGATAGACTCATATAGTGATACTGAGGAGTAAAAGATAGAATTTTTGGGTTCTAAAGTTGAATTAAATCTACTTATAGCAGGTTATAAATAGATATCTTTAGGATAACTTGTTGAGTCTTAATATAAATATTTAGTATTTTATATATATAGTTTTCTTTGATTATTAAATTAAATTTTCAAACCCTTGTAATTTTTTAATTATATAGAATAAATATTAAGATATAACTTGCTGAAAAAGAAAAAAATAAAAATAAAAATAAAAAACTTATCATTTGATAATATAAAAATTAGAATAATTTAATAAGCAGTTCATTTATAACTATTTAATAATTAAAACTTAATTTGTTATGATTATTTAAACTAATAATATAATTAGTACTACTATTTATAACTATAAAATTAAATTTATTTTTATTAAAAGAATAATTATATATAAATAATAATAAATGCTACAATTTAAAATAAAAAAATAATTTATTATTTAATAATTTAAAATTATAATAATAAATTATACATATATTTATTTAGTAACTTATATTTTAATAATTATATGATTTTTTGTAATTATTTTTATTAAAATAAATAAATCTATATTTAATTTTATTGATCTATTTCTAAAATAAAACTAAAATAAATAATTTGTTATAATAAATTTTAACATTAGAAGTTGTCTACAATTAAAATAAACTTAGTTTGTAATAGAATTTAATGTATCTGAACTATTTATTATCAAAGAATCAAAAAGTTCTATAAATTATCTAAACTGCAAAATATATATTTATTATATATTTGCTGTATTACTAACTACTATGTTAGCAATTTAAATATTTTATAAATTATTGCTAAATTTATTATAAACTTAGTTTTATAGGAGTAATATGCATCTGCTTGATAACATAAATATGAATTCACGAAAAAATATATGTAATGAATTTATTTCAAAACAAATGTTATTAAAGTATTAGCCGCAGCTGGTGTCGCAGTAAATATTTTTAGTAAAGCAAATATTTTATGAACTAATACTAAATTTGTGATTATTTTAGATTCAATGGAGTCTTGCAAATCTGCTTTATTCACCTAACCATGAAGTTGGCTACAAATCGACATTATTAAATATTTACTGCGGCTCAGCCACGGCTGGACCATCTGAAACGGCTAAGCCGGCTTGCTACACTACGTTTGTAACATGAGCCAAGGTTATTTTGCCCATAACCATTTTCTCCTTCAGCAGATTTTGAATACCATTCAAAAGCCTTTTTTGTATCAACAGCAATACCTATACCACGTTCATAACATATGCCGAGATTGTTTTGTCCTTTACTATCTCCTCCTTCAGCAGACTTCAAATACCATTCAAAAGCTTTCTTTTTATCAATAGTGGTGCCTAATCCATATTCATAACAACAACCAAGACTATTTTGTCCTATACTACATCCTCCTTCAGCGGATGTCGTATAGTATTGAAAAGCTGTATTTTTATCTTCGGAAACTCCTTTAGCAAATTTATAAATAGAACCAAGATTATTATATGCTAAATAATTTCCATATTCGGCAGCTTTTGTAAACCATTTTAGAGCATTTTTTTCATCTTTAGAAACACCATGACCAACATCATAACAATATCCAACTTTATTTAATGCTCTTGCATTCCCTTCTTCAGCAGATTTTAAATACCAATTAAAAGAATCTGATTCACTTCTATTAACTCCATAACCATAAAAATAACATTCACCAATATAAAATTTTCCTAAACTAGAACCCTTGGTAGCAGATTTTATAAATAATTGTAATGCTTTTTGATAATTATTTATAACACCCTTTCCATCCATATAAAGTAAACCAAGAGAAATTAATCCGATGAGATGATTTTTAGTAAAGCGACAATTATTTGCAGCTTGTCTATACATATTGAATGCTTTGTTATAATCAACAGTTGTTCCAATTCCATATTCATAAAAGAAACCCATAATACTTGTAAAAGTATATCTATATTGGTGATTATCATATTGTTTTAGAATTTTCACGGTATTTTTATTATTAATATCGATATATTTTCTTAAATGATATATTATAGAATCTGAAGTATCTTTTGAAGCACTTTGTACATTGAATTGAGTTATAAATATTTGATTTAAGTTGTCAAGAAATTGTTGATCAGAAGAATCAAATTGCTTAGTTATGTTAGTTTGGGGAAAAAATGGAATTGTTGTAGTTGTTATGGAAGTACATGTATTTAAAGTACCCGATAAATTTAATATATTATGCTGATTATTTAATAATTTATCTTCAACTAATGATTTCTTAAGAGTTGCAATAATTGAAGAAATTAAATTTAATTCCTTGGCTGTTTCATTATGTAAACTAGTATAATGAATTAATAAATCTGTTGTATTTGAACTTTCGGATATTAATTGATCTTTATTCTCTTCATTTTTATCATACTCTGTAAAGATTTCTTCTTTGTCATAATTAATCTTATTTAGATCTTTAAAAACGTTTTGAATTATCGGACGTTGATTTAAATCATTCTGCCAACATTCTAAAAAACAAATATAAATTTTTTTTTGTTATTTACGTTATCAAACCATTTATTAATTGTATTATTTAACTTACCTGTATAGATTTTGATATATTTTTTGGGAGTTCCTAAAACTGTAACTTCACGTTTTCCATGAATAATTGCATCTAATAGATAATAGTTACTAGAATAAAGAAATTTTTTTTTAAATGGAATAATTCCGCTTGAAATTTCCCAAAGAAGAACTCCAACGCTATATATATCAGAACTTTTGTTAAGTTTATAAACTTCAATATTTTGTAAATATTGAGGATCTATGTATTGCACATATTTAAATATATTTATATTTTTGTTCTGATATTGAAAAGCTATTTTGATATCTCCTTTGTGAATAAATATTATTTCTGAATTCTTAAAAAAAAAAAATAAATTATTGATAAATAATAATTATTAATAAATAATAATTAATTATAAAAACTAATTGATTTAAAAAATTTACCAAATTCATATAAACAATATCATTTTCATGTAAGTACTTTATAGCGCTAATAAGCTGCTTTGCAAGGCGTAATTTATCATTCCAATTAATCTTACTAAAGTTTTGATTTAAATATTGACGAAGAGTTCCATCAAGAGCATATTCTTGAATAAATACTACTTCGTTTATATTTTGCCTAAAGATGCCTATAAATTCTAAAACATTTTCATGTAACCCTAATTTTTGATGTCGTTTTAACTAAAAAATAAAGTATCAAAATATTAAAATGTATTTTATAATAATTAATATAATTAACATGTAAAAACTTACATCATTAATAAAACTTTCTATTGTATATTTTTGTGAAAAGATAATCTTGTTTAGAAATATAAATTTATTATACTTCATTGAGAAAGCTTTGTAGCTATTACTAGATAATATGGCATTATCAGCTTTAAATTTTTCGAACGAATTGTACGGAATAAGTTCGATATTATATTGTTCTAAAAAATCATTATTTTTAGATTTTTGAATCATTCTTAAAATTTAGTAATCATAGAAGAAGAATGTTAATATAAAATTTTCGCTAGTTTAAAATCCAATTACATAAAGTATATCTATTTTTAAAAAGTCGTACAAGTGATACAATGAAATTAAATACGTAGTGATCTACCAACATATTAATACGTAGTGTCACGGTTTATAAACCCGTGACAATGGTGTATTAAATGATTGGTGGCTTAGGATGTTTCAGTGCGGTTTGGAAAAGCAGAACTGTTCTAGGTTAATTGGGCTGGGTGGGTGGCGTTAGTACAGAACTTATTTAATTTTGTTTTCATTTTTTCTTTCTTTCTTTATTTTATTTTTTTTTTCTTTGATATATTTTTTCTTTTAGTCTCTTTAAGTTTTCTTTTTGTATTGTTATTGTATAGCGAATAGAATCGTATTTTGCTTAGTCTATTTCTCTTTATCGTTTTGTATATATTTTTATTTAATTTTGTTTGTGATTTGAACAGAACTGTTAGGTAGGCGCTAACAGCGCAAATGGCTTCTGAACAGAACTGTATAGAATAGTTTTTGTGAATAAGAAAACTCATTGTATTTTCATAGTATCATGAAGATATAAAAGAAGCGCCTTTCGCACTTAAATAAAGTTCAGACTTCGGTGTCTTTAGTGTTAAAAGAATCGACTTCTCAAGTGTTATTAGCGTTAGTTTTTACATTGTTAAATTATAATCGTGTTACCTTTAAAACTTGTTATTGTTATCTTTGTGTTACCTGATAAATTAATCCTATAATCATAAACCGTGACTAAATTAAATTAATCATTATTAATTAGATTTCTTAAATTGATAAATTACCTAATCTCATGTACATAAACCCATAATATAAGCCACCGTGCTCGGTTCTCCTTTTTTTATTAATCCCCGATATAGATCTTAGATCCTATTGCTATATCCCGTTTACTATTGAAGATAAATTGGACCAATTATTGATTTTGCTCTCCCAACAATAGTAACAATAGTCATATATGAATATCGGATATGCAGATCTACGTCTGCTCTCAATACTTTATAATTTAGATTGAAATTGACCTATATATTCCCATTCCTTACGTTGTAAGTGGCGAAATTACCCACCTCAATACTACGCCTAGTTAATGATGCCTCTCGAAACTATTTTTTCGGTAAACCCCATAGTATCGAAATATCGATATTGAAACTCGAAAGTGTTATCGAAACTCGAAAGTGGTATCGAAACTCGAAAATGATATCTAATTCGAAAGTCAACCGTGCTTACCTAAGTTTTATTATATTATTGAAGTCCAAGTTTATGCATTGTTATTTTTATTTATTTATTTATAATATACAAAAATACTTCTAAAAATTTTTAATATTCTTCGCGTATAGTATAGTATACCTAGTATACCTGCTATAAAAAAACAAGTTTTTAAAATTTTTTATTTTTTGTTTTTGGAATACTTCCGCCGAACCTTGCTCGTGTTTTATGTTCATTTATAGTCTATTCCGGAACTTTTCTAATTAGGAAGAATTTCGATTTTGTTAATCGGGATAATTCGTGTTGATAAAAATTAATTGGCATCGCTTCCCGGTATTGCCCTATCGGCAAAAAAAATCTCACGTATATTACTATGTATTAGATTAGGAATGGGAATCGATTGCTTCTCAAAATCGATTTTCGATTAATCGATATTTCTAAATGTTGGCCTGCTCAAAATAATAGAATGGTTTTTTAAAATATAATTATTATAATAGATTAGTCGGGAATAGTTATCCGATTTTTGAAATCTCAGAATCAATCGATTCCCATTCCTATTTTTTTTTTTAAAAAAATAACCTGAGTAAATTAAAATTAGATCGAGTTTTACAATATTACATGAAATATTGCATCTCTCTAAGCAAATAATTTTTATTGCATTGCTCTATAATATAATTACTGTATTACTTCTGCATGATAACGATAATTTCTTATTATTGATAATATAACGAATGGGCTGAACGTAACATTTAATAAACCCGAATTCACAAAAAAAAAATCTAAAAAATTTCAAAAATCACACTAATTAAAGAGTGAAAAATCATTTTCGAATTCCCAAAAAGCAACTCTCATATGAATGTAGATATAGAAATACGTATATATCTTCGTAAAGTACGTATACGTAGTACATACGTACATACCTGAGAAAATAAATACACCCAGAAATACATATTAATTTGTATATAATAGTTGCGTGGCTTTCACAAAAGGTAGACATGCATTATTTGCTAAAAATATAAACAATTTTTATTTTGGAGAAAATTATGTTCATAAATAGAGAATTCTTATTAAAAAAAAAAAAAAAAAAAAAAAAAAAATCGTAAAATGCAATTATATAAAATTATCCTTTAGTAATTAAAAATGGATTTTTAAAAATAAATAAACTGGAAAAGTTTAAAAAAGTAATGAGCATTAATAGTTCAAAAAAATCAAAAAATTATGTTGATATCAAAAAAAGGATTTTCCCGTATACGTACATGCTATATGATTGTTGTCTAATCGAATACGAACGTTACATGTCGTCATTTAAAATCTGTTTTATCGTTTACAGTTATGATTTGCTATTTACGTGTTTTTTATTTACAGTAGATCATAGAGATCTGATAAATATTTATAGTTTACCTACTTAAATAAACGTAAGATCGAATAACGATAAAGTGATACGCTGTAAATTTTGTATTCTAGTAATACATAACTAATACTGTACTACTAACAGTGTGATAAAATGATCAATGTATCATTATACTGTATCGGTATGCCTATTGTTGATGTATTCAAAAACGGATAGAGCGCTAGAATTATAGTGAAACAAACAGTTGAACAATATCAATTTTCCTAATGAAAGATACTCGTTCCTCTTTATAATTTTGGTTTCTGTATTTGATTATGTGATGTTACATTGTTTTCCATATAAAGGTATTTTGTATTGCTATCTTGCAGGGATCGACGAAGAAAATTTCTATAAAAGGGGGACGTTGTGAAAGGACTCTAGCTGAAGGCACGTGAATGTGAGGGGAAACGTGACCTAGCGAAGGCACGTGAGAAACGTAACCACGACCCGACCCAAAGTCATAACCCGAACCAAAGCTAAGCCGCAAGATCCCGCATGTGAAAGTAGCATTTAATAAATGCTATATTGGGTTTAGCTTGAGGCGGCGAAGCCCATTGAGAACAATTGAATAATGGCTTTGTGGGAACAAAGGTTTAGTCGCTAGTAGATTCCCCCGATACTAAATTTAGTTATCTAACGTAAAAGCCCGATGAATTTTCATGTATAAAAGTCCTGTAAATTCCGTTAGTAAAGGGACAGATAAGTTATCGTTTAATATTAATAAAGACACACCTCAAAAACCAGGATCTTAGTGGCAGTAAGATCCTTGGTTCTCGGATCAAGTCTTCCACGTCTTTTTTGAGTTGCCTTGTGTCTTTGCGCTACGTTACGTTATGTTTTAGCTATGAAGGACCCGGGTCAACAAAAAATTCGTGATTTGATTGGTTAATTCACGTGATTCTACTCCGCTTTAGACGACCCCTATAAAAGGAAATTTCCACTTCCGCTGTTTTTATATAATGATGCATATACATATGAACATGAACATATGTGAATTCGAAAAATTTTTGGTCCAAAAGTAAAGTTCATCTTATTGATGTTTTTACGGTGAATCAGATGTAAAATTATGAAGTTTGCCATTTTTTTTGTTTTTTGTTTGCCGGGTTGATTAATTGATAATCACTGATCGTCAAAAACCTTAATGAAAGACTTTATGTAGCGAAGGAATTTTATGATCACTTCTATCCAATAATAATAAAATACGAATACTGCATAATAAAATCTGCAAAAGTAAGTCTTTTACCGTAACAGGGCTTATAACCTTATGTAATACACGTCACTCTGGTTATACCGACATCTGGATATAACGACACCATTAGTGCTTGGATCCGGATAATCCGGATATCCGTTTAGCTTATCCGGATATCCCATGTCCTTATCCGTTATCCGTATCCGTTAAGCAGTTGCTTATCCGTTATCCATATCCGTTTACAGCTGTTATCATTATTTCTGGGACACCTGATAATTTTTGCTCGCTACCGAATCATTCTCGGTTTCATCAGGTAAATTGCCTAATCTCTCGGAAACTATGTCACTGTCTTCGGATCCTCAGTCTGAAGACAACGACATAATTTCCGAGAGATTAGACAATTTACTGGATGAAACTGAGTAGCGAGCAAAAATTATCAGGTGTCCCAGAAATAATGATAACAGCTGTAATATTAATATTAATCTTATTTAAATTTTAACATATATACGAAAAGAAACCCGAAGAAATTTAAAATCATAGTCCGTTAAATTATATACAACCAATTATACCTAATTGTCCGAAGCGAAGCGGCGGACCCTATATTATTCGGCATGTAATACAAAATTTACGTTTTTGATGCATTTGGCTCAAAAAGTACCTTTTTGATGCACCAACATGAAAATTATGAAATTTACATCAGAAACGCAATTTGGAAATTTTTTGTGTGTTGTAAAGGGCTAATATAATTCCCGTTAGATTTTTCTCACGTGACCCGGCGTTCCCCCGTTACGGAAGTTTGAATATTTGTTTTTATATTTTATTTATTATTATAATAGGACTGGGTGAAAACTGAGTCACCAGCTATAAAAATTGCGTTAATTGGTTAAATCTGAGTTTTGTATTGGGGTTAGGGTGAAATCCGAGTTTATCTATGTTTTTTATTATACAAAAGCAGATTTCAACTCTCATGTGATCTACGTAGCAGATTTAACCAATTAACGCAACTTTTATTAGCTGGTGACTCAGGTTTCACCCTGTCGTATTATAATTATGATTATTTACTTCTATTTCAATAACCTTTTGGGGTAAAAGATTTACCAATCGAAGTTTCTTAACGTAGATCATTTCCTGTAAATAGTAGGAAACTTGTTATGTTAGTGCAATAAATTCAATTTATCC